CATCCCTTTCATACTGTTGGCTTCTAGTAAAATAAACACTTTTTTCATATAAATGACCATGTCTTCTCCAGTTCAGCCACTGTAATTCATTTTCTGAATTAAATGTGTAATTTTAACTTAGACTAGTAACTAAATGTATCAACTTGGAAGTTTAACTTTATGCTAAAGTAAAATATCCTTTCAATTTGTTTTTTCATCTCTAGTATATGTGAATTTTACATCCAGATATTAGAGAGGGTTTTACAACTGGGAGGAGCAAGCATATTGGTAAAGGTGGGTATCAGTGGGAGAAAAGGTGGACATGTGTCATATAAAAAATATTTTCTAAAATTATCTTTAATTTGGTTTGTTTTTAGTCAAGACACTTGTTTTCCCCAGCAATGGCCACATTATTAAAAATTAAAATAAAATTTACACACAGTAAAATTCACCCTTTTCTGTGTACAGTTCTCCAGGTTTTGATTAATATACATAGTTGTGTAACCAGCATGAAAATCAAGACACAGATCAGTGCTATTGAGCTGTGAAATAACCTGCACCATGAGGCCTGACCCCTGGCAAACACTAATCTGATTTCTATCCCTCTATTTTTTCCTTTGCCGGAATATCACATAAAAGGAATCATACTGAATGCAGTCTTTTAAATCTGGCTTCTTTCCTCAGAGAATGCATTTGACATTTATCTACGTTGTTATGTGTATTAGTAGTTCCTTTTTTAATGCCAAGTAGTATTTCATTACAGGGTGTATCACAGTCTGGCTATGCATTCCCCAGCTAAGGGATTAAGAGTTGTTTCTGGTTTCTGATGATTGTGAATAAAGTCATCATAAACACATGTAACTTTCTGTGTGAACACAAGTTCATTTCACTTGGATAAATACATATACATATGATTTCCGGATTTTCTTCCAAGTTGTTATTTAACATACACATTATAATATTACAAAGATGTAATGGTGATGCACTGCTTGTGTAGATATAAAAAATCCATTTTCTTTTATACTATGGAACTTTTCAAATATATAGTAAATTTGAAAGGATTTTATAGTGAATATCTGTATACTCACCACCTAGATTCTAAAATTCAGTAGTCTGTTTTTAAATTAAACTCTTTATTTTGAAATAATTGTAGATTCACATGCAGTTTTAATAAATAGCATAGACAGATCCCAAGTACTCCTTATCCAGGGTTCCCAAATGGCTAATAACACCTTGCAAAACAGCAGTATAATACTATATCCAGGATACTGACATTGCCATGATTTAGATACACAGTCTTTCCATCACTACCAGGATTTCTCATGTTGTTCTTTTACAGTAACTTCCCTCATACCCTACCCCTCATCCCCATATTAACCTCTGCCAACCACTATTCTGTTCTACATTTCCATAATTTTGTCATTTCAAGAATTTTATATAAATGGAATTATACAGTGTGTAACTTTATAGGATTGGCTTTTCACTCACTGCATGTACCATTAGTTTATTCCTTTTTTTTTTTGTTGAGGAATATTTCACGGTGTGAATGTGTCAGTTTGTTTAATCATTTACTCCTTGAAAATGGACTTTGAGGTTGTTTCCATTATAAGTAAAGCTGCTATAAACATTCACATACAGATTTTTGTGTGAATATAAGTTCTCATTTCTCTGGGATAAATGCTTAGGAGTATAGTTTTGGGTTGTATGGTAATTGCAAGTTAAGTTTTTTAAAAGAAACTGCCAAACTGTTCTCCAGGGTGCTGTACTGTTTTACATATATATCCACCAGCAATCTGAGACTTTCTGCATCCTCACCAGCATCTGGTGTTCTTACAACTTTTTATTTCATTCTGATAGGTGCTTAACAGTAAGTCACTGCACTTTGAATTTGCATTTCCCTAATCACTAATATAGTGTTGAACGTCTTTTCATGTGCTTATCTGTCATTTTTATATCTTCTTTGGAAAAAAAAAATCTCCTCTTGTCTTTAGCCTGTTTTCTAGTTGGATTATTTGATTTTTCACTGTTGGGTGTTCAAAGTTCTTTATATTTTCTGGAAATTAGTCCTTTGTTGGATATGTGGCTTGTAAATACTTTCTCCCAGTCTGTCTTTTCATCTTAATAACAGGGTTTTGCAGAGGACAAAAGGGTTTAATTTTGATGACACCCTAATGATCAACTTTCACCTTTATGGATTATGCTTTTCATTTCAAATCTCTTTGCCTAGCCCTAGATTTTTACAGTTTTATACTTATGTCTTTAACCATTTTGAGTTAATTTTTTAAAATACAGTGTGGGCTTTAAGTAGAAGTTTATTTTTTTGCCTCTGCACATCTAAATGTCCCAGGATCAATTATCAAAAAGACTGTCTTCCCTCCACTGAAGTACTCTTACACTTCTGTCAAATGCCAGTGGGCATATCTCTCTGGTTCTATTTCCAGGTTCTCTATTCTGTTCCACTGACCGCTTTATTCCTCCAGCAACACCACAGAATCTTGATTACTGTAGCTACACAGCAGGTCTTAAAACTGCATACGATTCTTCTTTTTCAAAATTGTTTTAGCTATTCTAAGTCCACTGCCTTTCCATATAAATTTTAGAAGAACCTTGGTTATACAGATTAAAAATCTTGTTGGAACTATTTAATTACATTAAATCTGTGTATTAATTTGGGAACAACTGATACATTTACTATGCTGAGTCTTCCAATTCATGAACACAGTATGTCTCTTCATTTATTTAGATCATCCTTGATTTCTTTCACTGGCATTTAAAAATTTTCAGTATACAAGTACTTTATTTGTATTTACACCTAAGTATTTAAATCTTTTTCTTTTTTTTGAGCGATTTTAAGCAGTACTGTACTTTCAATTTTGGTGTCCACATGTTTATTGCAAATAAATAGAAATTTAAAATGTTTATATTTTACTTTATATCCTGTGACCTTGCTAAATTCAGTTATTAGTTCTAGGAGTTTATTTTGTAGATTCCTTGAGATTTTCTACATAAACAATCGTATCAGTCACAAATAGGGATTTTTTATTATTTTTTTCCTTTCTGATCTATATGCCTTTTAATTTCCTTTTCTTGCTTTATTTTACTAGCTAGAACTTTTGGCACTATGTTGAATAAAAACCAATAATATAAATATCCCTGCCTTGTTAGGGGGAAAGTATTCAGTCTTTCACCATTAAGTATGATGTTACATGAAGGTTTTATACATACTCTTTATAAAAT